AAACGTAGTAAAGTTGAAGGCTGCTAGCCTGCTGGACAACAGATTTGGTCTCAAGTGGTGAAGAATTTTCAACACGAGTTCGTTTCCTTAGTAGGCTTCTTTGTTAAGATCCAAAGTTGAAACTCGGTTTCCTTTTCCATCAATGAAATTTTGCGGCCTAATGATTTGTTATCATCTTTGGGTTGTTCTGGAAGGGCGTACAGCTATTGTGCTGTGCGATGATGATAAAGATGTGATGGTGATGTAGATACGGTGATGGTGCATTAATGATACAATTGGGGTACATATGGCGTTGCGAGTGCGATATATGCTATATGGAGTTTCAATGATGCTGCGGATACGAAAATATTTTGCTGATAAGGTATTATTTATGTAAATGAAAGCAATTAGATAGCAATGCAGAGACAGGAGAATGAGAGTCAGGAAAGACAGTTGGGAGAGTGAACTGGGGAAGAGAGTAGATGAAAAAAGTACGGGTAGAGAGAAGGAAAAGAGAGCATTGAAACAGAGCAAAGTGAGAGGAAAGCAAGGGCATGGAGGGAGGGCAACGCGATTAAGGTACATGCCAGCTTCGCCCAACACCTCAGCGCCTTAGCAAGCTTCATCATTTTTCATTCATCAGAAATTGAATACAGGGCTTCATGCACTTGCGCCTCAGCTTCAATGCATGGCATTGTTCTAACGCGTTCAGCGTTACTGAAGCGAGTTCAGCGTTATTAAAGCGAGTTCGGCGTTATTGCAAAGCGGTCAGCTTTATTCAGCATCATGACCATGTCTTTAATAGTGACAGAAGTTGCCTTAAAGCGTGTGGTTACGACGCTGCAATGAGTGCTATTTGCAATTCGCTTCAGTCAAGCGTAAGTCAGGAAAGTCACAGCCAATGTAGCTGCCTGCTGAGCACAAAGCAGTCACCAATTCTGGAAAGCCAAGACCAATTCTGCAGCCTGAACCTGAAGTGAAATAATCGGAGTAGAAACCGTGGAGTTTGTGTGTGAGGGCATAGCGAACTGGGTACCGCGCCTCCGCCAGCCCTCAGATCGCGGGTATCGATCCCGCAGCGCGCCCTCACATGACGTGCAGCGCTGCCTACCTCCTCCTGCACTTTGTAACATATATTGGCAATGGCGACTTTAATGAGTAGTTAGCTCCAATAACTGCAGCTAATCACTCATATTGAATAAAATCAATCAAAACAACTGATTTTTCAGGTAGTGAAAGTGGATTTTTCATGCATAAAGTGCTGATTTGAGAAAGAGTTTGCGTCGTCTTGACTCCGACAACAGTGCAGGGCCAGGCCATTGGCCGGCGGCTCGCAACCCTTGCCTCAGAGTCTGCCCGGGCAGGGCGCGAGGGAGAGGCGCTCCCTTACCGTACGCATGCGCAACTCCTCCCTACCGGCCCCCTTATTGCCGCTCCCTCCTCCCTTTTATTGAATATATTTGCTTGCTCCATTTTAGCTCCTTGTTCGCTTCGCGCCCCCTCTCCTTGCCCCGTTATTATCCCTCCTCTTGCCTATGCTTGATTCTTCCCCATCCGCCGCTTGGATATAACATGAGATGTGTCAGCAGTAAACTGTTCTGCATTAATTAAATCAACAAACAACACATGATAGAATTAAAGATATCATTAACACCCGGGTTATAAGTCCCACGACTACATAGTCCCACGAATCACTTGATAACTGCAGCAAAAATTGTATTAACCTAAGAACAAGATCTAAGAATTATGTAAAAATAACTCATATTTCAACTAAATCGGCCATTGCATCAACGTTCTGAAGAGAGAAGACATCATCGAGCTCGTGGTATGAGAACTTCATCAACGGCTACATTAAAGAGCTCGTGGTATGAGAACTGCATCAACGGCTACATTAAAGAGCGCGTGATATAAGAACTACATCAACAGTTTCATCAACAATGGAATTGCATGAGAACCACATCATCCATAATTAATTTTTTGAATGTTTAGTATTTGGACATTTACAATAAAAGAAACAGTATACTGTATAGATGTATAACCATACAGGTTTTGGCACTGCTAACACACTTCGATATTTAACAGGAAGACGCGGCGCGTGCGGCCAGCGTCGGCAGGAGCGGCAGATGTGCGAGATTCTTCGCGTAACTTCTTTTAAGTTCGGTTCACAGCTTCATTATCATTTGTACGGCCAAATAAATGTAAGATAACAATAGGAAATATATGTTGCATGTGGAATTATATTTATTCGACATGTTTTCAGTATAACCTCGCTCCCATACCATCATCAGTGGCATGGTCTTAAAGACGTTTACCACGACCATTAATTATAATAATTAATTAATTAATTAAATTCAAAGTTGAGAAGACTTCAGACGGGGCCAAATCTTTTTCAGTAATTCATTTACAACTGTTATGTGTTGAAGTATTGCGTTCTTGTAAGTCTTGGGTTTACATGAAGTTTTATGATCTGAACTCCCATGATGAACTGTAGGAGTGTAAGATGGTGCTGGTGACAGGTAAACTGTGCACCACGACGTGCACCACGACGTGCACCACGACGTGCACCACGACGTGCACCACGACGTGCACCACGACGTGCACCACGACGTGCACCACGACGTGCACCACGACGTGCACCACGACGTGCACCACGACGTGCACCACGACGTGCACCACGACGTGCACCACGACGTGCACCACGACGTGCACCACGACGTGCACCACGACGTGCACCACGACGTGCACCACGACGTGCACCACGACGTGCACCACGACGTGCACCACGACGTGCACCACGACGTGCACCACGACGTGCACCACGACGTGCACCACGACGTGCACCACGACGTGCACCACGACGTGCACCACGACGTGCACCACGACGTGCACCACGACGTGCACCACGACGTGCACCACGACGTGCACCACGACGTGCACCACGACGTGCACCACGACGTGCACCACGACGTGCACCACGACGTGCACCACGACGTGCACCACGACGTGCACCACGACGTGCACCACGACGTGCACCACGACGTGCACCACGACGTGCACCACGACGTGCACCACGACGTGCACCACGACGTGCACCACGACGTGCACCACGACGTGCACCACGACGTGCACCACGACGTGCACCACGACGTGCACCACGACGTGCACCACGACGTGCACCACGACGTGCACCACGACGTGCACCACGACGTGCACCACGACGTGCACCACGACGTGCACCACGACGTGCACCACGACGTGCACCACGACGTGCACCACGACGTGCACCACGACGTGCACCACGACGTGCACCACGACGTGCACCACGACGTGCACCACGACGTGCACCACGACGTGCACCACGACGTGCACCACGACGTGCACCACGACGTGCACCACGACGTGCACCACGACGTGCACCACGACGTGCACCACGACGTGCACCACGACGTGCACCACGACGTGCACCACGACGTGCACCACGACGTGCACCACGACGTGCACCACGACGTGCACCACGACGTGCACCACGACGTGCACCACGACGTGCACCACGACGTGCACCACGACGTGCACCACGACGTGCACCACGACGTGCACCACGACGTGCACCACGACGTGCACCACGACGTGCACCACGACGTGCACCACGACGTGCACCACGACGTGCACCACGACGTGCACCACGACGTGCACCACGACGTGCACCACGACGTGCACCACGACGTGCACCACGACGTGCACCACGACGTGCACCACGACGTGCACCACGACGTGCACCACGACGTGCACCACGACGTGCACCACGACGTGCACCACGACGTGCACCACGACGTGCACCACGACGTGCACCACGACGTGCACCACGACGTGCACCACGACGTGCACCACGACGTGCACNCTCTGCCACTAATGCCCCCTCTGCCACTAATGCCCCTCTCTGCCACTAATGCCCCCTCTGCCACTAATGCCCCTCTCTGCCACTAATGCCCCTCTGCCCCACTAATGCCCTCTCTGACACTAATGCCCCCTCTGCCACTAATGCCCCCTCTGCCACTAATGCCCTCTCTGCCACCAATGCTCCCTCCCCTCATAACACACCCAGCGCCCCCCCCCACCGCCTGAGCTGCAGCGACGTAGCTGCCGTGGCGCTCAACTTGCGCCACGGTTACACCTCACATGACGCATATATACGGCTGCAGCAGCTCTATACGGCTGCAGCAGCTCTATACGGCTGCAGCAGCTCTATATGGCTGCAGCAGCTCTATACGGCTGCAGCAGCTCTATACGGCTGCAGCAGCTCTATACGGCTGCAGCAGCTCTATACGGCTGCAGCAGCTCTATACGGCTGCAGCAGCTCTATACGGCTGCNCAGCTCTATATGGCCGCCAGCTGCTCTATATGGCTGCCAGCAGCTCTATATGGCTGCCAGCAGCTCTATATGGCTGCCAGCGGCTCTTTACGGCTGCCAGCAGCTCTATGCGGCTGACAGTAGCTCTATATGGCTGCCAGCAGCTCTATATGGCTGTCAGCAGCTCTATATGGCTGCCAGCAGCTCTATACGGCTGCCAGCAGCTCTATACGGCTGCCAGCGGCTCTTTACGGCTGCTAGCAGCTCTATATGGCTGCCAGCAGCTCTATATGGCTGTCATCACCTCTATACGGCTGCCAGCAGCTCTATATGGCTGCCAGCAGCTCTATATGGCTGCCAGTAGCTCTATATGGCTGCCAGCAGCTATATATGGCTGATAGCAGATCTATATGGCCGCCAGCAGCTATATACGGCCGTCAGTAGCTCTATATGGCCGCCAGCAGCTATATATGGCTGATAGCTTATCTATATGGCTGTCAGCAGCCATATATGGCTGATAGAAGATCTATATAGCTGCCAGCAGCTCTATAACATCATCCGTTATAGGCAGATGAAGCCAAATAATATCACCTGGTATATGGTATATGAAGCTAAATAACATCACCCGTTACATGGTAGAGTAAACTGAATATCATCTGGTAAGTAAATCAGCATGACTCCACATTCCGAGGTGACCGTCACTGCGACCGAAGAAGTCAAGCGGCAAAATAACTTTTTATCACTACCCCCCTTCACGTCCCCCTGTTATAAGCCTAATGGGGGGCAAGCGAGGTCAGTGTAGCGTCACTAACGCGTTACGCTGCGGCGAACGCGGTAATTATTTCTTTTGATGGATGAGGAGGCCTTAGGCCGGCTTTTTTAATTGCGACCAGTCCTGAGACGGGCCAAGAAATATCACGTGGTCGATTGCGCGGCGTCGATAACGTCGATCAGCAAAATACATTTCTGTGATATTGAGTATCGTGTTCTGGGTCATCATAACTGCGCGGTGATTTTGTGGATTACGTTCTTGTTTGTATCTTATACGCAAACAGTTTCGAGGGATCGCTTCTGATATCCATGAAAATTTTGCATACACGATAAGTGTCACTGATAACGATTTTGGCCTGAGATATCGTAATACGATTTTCTTTTTAACAACGACAACGTAAGTTTGTTTCCACTACGATGGTGCCGATTTCGTAACACAAATACTGAGTGGGCAATGACAGCTCGACTGCAGCCCAGTAGTTCAGCCGAAACTCAATTTACTTTCCCGAAAAAAAAAAATGTTTCTAGCTTCACATTTCATACGTTAATTTTACTTTTTTTATGTAGATAGCTGGATCGCTCGGCATTGCCAAGCTTGGTATATAATTGCTGCAGTTCAAAAAGGCCATTATCTCATTTCTTGACATCACCATCATCACAAATTCATTGGCTAACCCGGCACAGACTGGAATAATTGTCCCACTAAGTTACAGTTCTCCCACTAAGAATAAAATTCCCGATCCAAGTAAAATCCCGACACCACGAAAATCGTAGATAAGCTTCCCAACACCCCTACATTTACATCATCAGGATCAGCCACACAAAGAAACTTTGACCAATATTTATAAAATGATAGTGGGCTGCTGTTGTGAGGCCGGCGCTAAGGATTCATCACCAGGCTGGACGATCATCGCTTAGGTCGTTCCAGCTGATCACAACTCATCCTCTTTATTGACCTCAATGACCTCCGCGTAATATTAGGATGATGTTAAAAACTTTTCAGGACAAACGCAATACGTACGATGAAGAGCCTCACCAATTTCGGAAAATCAATCATTCGAACGAATGTTACTTAATTAAAATGATATGTACGCGCGCACATTAATTAGACTTTAGAGATTATATCAAGTCTTATATATTATATTAAGAGATCGAATAACGACATCGATCCGTTGTACTGAGGATGGAACAGTCTGGCAAACGCAACCACGCGGTGCAAGGACTTGTGGTGGAGTGGTGTGGTGGAGTGGTGTGGTGGAGTGGTGTGGTGGAGTGGTGTGGTGGAGTGGTGTGGTGGAGGGCCGCTGCTCCACGTAATTAGAGCAGCCGTGAGTGACGTCAATCAAAAAATGATCTGGGCCACAAAAATGCGAATTCTTGGATTAAAATTTGAAGAGTCCGCGAAAAAATACCCCGGATGAGGGAGGCTCTCTCGCGAAAACATCGCCGTCATGCTGATGAAAAAACGATGATATGCAAATTTTTGCAGATTATGGACGATGTGTGAAGGTTAGGCGCAGTGCAATAAAGCGTCTTTGTGTGAAGATCATCTTTCAAGCGACGCTAAAGACGCGCGACTGCAAAACTTCCAATTAAAGACCGGGCAGAAATGCTTAAAGCTTCTTAAAAGTGAGGCGCGACAGAGAAATACAAGTGCGCCAGAGATCTCATAACCAATTCATAGCAATCTCGTAAGCGTATAGTGATAGTCATGATGATAATTTAAAATATTTTGAATTTTGTGCTTGTAATTTGAGGTCACTAGTACTGGCTCACCAATAATACGTACACTTTTATCATTCGCTTCGCTCATCAATAATACTGTACAGTTCTAACAGTAGCATGGCTCGATCACCAATGATACGTACAGTTCTAGCAGTAGCATCGCTCATCAATGATACTGTACAGTTCCAACAGTAGCTTCGCTCATCAATGATACTGTACAGTTCTAACAGTAGCATCGCTCATCAATGATACTGTACAGTTCCAACAGTAGCTTCGCTCATCAATGATACTGTACAGTTCTAACAGTAGCATCGCTCATCAATTATACTGTACAGTTCTAGCAGTAGAATCGTTCATCAATCATACGTACTGTACCGTTTCAACAGTAGTATCAGTATCAACAGTAGAATCCCAGAAGCATTTCTTTTAAAAATGTTGCATATAAACACTGCCACAAACAATGAACGTATCCTGAAGAAGTGCCTGAGAAATTGTAAAACCAGCTAATGGCCGGTAACGGAATGGCCATAAATTGGCTGGCCTTGTAAGATTAAGTTTGACGTTTTGCTACAGCAAATGCTGCACTGATATTTTCCAGCTTCGTGGAAGTAATTATTGAGCACTTGGCAGCAGTGACCTCATCAATTGAGGTAGTTTTATAGGTGGTGTGATGGCTACAGTGACTTGGTCACGGAGTTCAGCAAGCCTTTGTAGCGGGGCTTTAGACGAAGACTATAATACGAGAACTTCCTATCTGGCACGGTGCTATCGAACACAGCTAATGGCTGGTCGCAACCAAACTTCGTCCCTGATAAATCATGGCAGTGGAGGCCACTCTTGTCATACTGATACCTCCTGGCAGCTCTGCCAGCACTCGACCACACCGATAACTCTGCATGTTCGTGCAGTTTTGGTTTAATATTTGTATTAATAGCGTGATTAAGTTTATGTTGATGTACGCACAAAGGAAGCAACGTAAATGCCACATCAATAACAAAAAAGATCAACGCAAGCGTCACAAAAGCGCCGAAAGGGCGCCAGAGCATCGTCGCCAATACGCCACAACGGCGTCACATCTTGTCCACATAAGCATAAAATCCACGCCACAACTGCGCCACATCAGCGTCTGGATATCGCCACACGCCACGACCCCCTCACTATTTTCCCTTCCATTGCCCCGGCTTCATTACAATCAGTCGAGCCTCTACAAATAATTACAAGCCCGACAAAAATTCACAGCGAAAATTAGCCATAAAAATTCTTGCCGGCGCTACCACACCGCCAAAAAACTTCTCCAATCTAAGGGCGGCAGCGCCAAAAAATGAACCCTCGTCATATTTTTGCACGAGTGCGATTCTTTTAACATTGTTTGCCAGTCGACATTTTTGAGCTGGCCGCACTTTTATGAGTAGACTGTTTCTCTTTATCTTGTAATTTTTGATTTTGACTTTCCTCTCACCCTTCCCTCTTGCCCTCACTTTTCTCAGGAGACTGAAGTGTTTAGAGGGTCACTGCTTGATGTTGGTAACAAAGCAATTTGCAGCGTTCGAAAAAATTATAGGATGACCCAGACCCTTCCATGAATATTATCTCTTAAGGAGATGTTTGGTAAAAAGTCAGATGTTTTAGACAAAACACTTATGATTGATGGAAGGAATATATCGAAATGATAATCTCAAATTTATCTCTGCTCGAAAAATGAATGCTTCAAAACTTGCTATATAAAAAAGTGATCGTTTTCCTGCGAGTAATTATAATATCGGCAGGACAGGGATGGTAGAAACTGGCTCAACCCTACACGCCTCCTCAGCTTCGTTGCTCATCATCAGCGAGATATTAAAGCCCCAGGGAAAGCCAACAATTAAAAAGCACTGAAAATTGAACTAAGGCAACTTTCATGGAATTTTTTACGCATGAAGAAGCTGGCGATGCGACAGAGCCACGTGCTGGAGGAAGGGGGATGAGGTCTCTTCTTAATTGTTCTTCGCTCCAATAAAACAGCAGCGGATGACAAGCAGGTTATGTAAAAATTTACTTTTCCCAGGCAAATTAAATAAAATTGTAATTATTTTGAGTACAATACACATTCTTATGGTAATATTTTTGCTCGAGCCAATAAATCGAGATTTGGGAACATTTCTTGTTCGCAGCGACCGGCCATGATGATCTGGAATGAAGTTTCGTTGCACCGAAGTCCGTGATTTTGATAACGAATATTAGCTGCAGTGATTTATAAATAAATTTTCAATACTGTTTGAATGTTTCAAAGACACGACCTGTTAAGAAATGCAGGATAGTGTGCTTCTAACGAGCCCTTAATTCAGCCAACTGCCGCGGTTTCGTTGCTGTCGTGCTCCATGAAAGCTTGGAGTTACATAGCTGCGGCTGAAGCAAATATATGCGCAACTTAGGCATCGCATGCGCGTGATTTATTGCTGACAGGCGTGTGATCTGTACGCATCTATGATGGGCATGCGCGCCATTTATATGCTATGATCTATGTTGGTCATGCTCGTGATGGATATCTATGCCCTATAATCTATGCAGGACATGCGATCGATCGATATCCATGCGCTATCATCGTGCGCTATCCATGCGCTATCATCATGATGAATATGCGCGTGATCCACGAACGCGCGCAGTCACATGCGACAATATTTGAGTGGCCAAACCATGCTGGACATGTAAGTTTCTGCATGTACCACTAATAAATTAGCTTAAATTATGAAGAACAAGGTCTAATTTTGTCATTTTTGACTAACTTGAACGGAAAGAACGCGATATCAAATCAAGGATGTCACAGAAAAAACACACATATCTCCTCTTTCATAGCAAGATTCTGGCACTCGACAAGCTCTGACACTCGACAGGCTCTGACACTCGACAAGCTCTGACACTCGACAAGCTCTGACACTCGACAAGCTCTGACACTCGACAAGCTCTGACACTCGGCAAGCTCTTGCACTTTGCAAGCTCTGACACTAGGCAAGCTCTGGCACTAGGCAAGCTCTGACACTCGGCAAGCTCTGACACTCGACAAGCTCTGACACTAGGCAAGCTCTGGCACTAGGCAAGCTCTGACACTCGGCAAGCTCTGACACTCGACAAGCTCTGACACTCGGCAAGCTCTGACACTCGACAAGCTCTGACACTAGGCAAGCTCTGACACTCGGCAAGCTCTGACACTCGACAAGCTCTGACACTAGGCAAGCTCTGGCACTCGGTGAAGGCTGCCAGAGTTAGCATACCATTTAGGTGGAAGATAGCGGTGCTGGATCGATCCATCGATCAGGTAG